TCCCTCCTTGCTTTCCCCTCCTGCTCGTCGGTGAGAGGCCAATAGACTGCGGTCGGGAGATGGGGCGCACCGCAGCATTCTCCTCACCGCCACCCGCAGCAGCTCCCCGACCTCCCGCTGGGACCTCTCTTCTCCCACTCTCCCGGCTGTGGCATCTCCCTTCTCCCCACAGCAGAGCCGGGGCCTCCCCCACCAGACTCCCCCCCTCCACGGCGGGGTCTGGTCTCGCTGGCTGCCCGGCCGGCCGCTGGCCTGCAGCGGGAGCCGTCGGTATTCCGCCGAGTGATTGTAAACGGGTTTGACTGGCCGTTGATCCCGGGGTCAGGACTCTCCTCGCTAATCCCTCGCTCTCCAAACACCACCCCCCGCCCTTGTCCCCGCGTTCTCCCTCCCTCTCTCTCACCCCTCTCGCCTCCTTCCACCCCCGTTTCCCTCTTGCATCATTCATTTGCAGCCCCTCCGACGGCATCGGGGGCACTTCACTTCCTGGGGCTGCAGCTCGCAGATACCCACTCGCACCCCACGAACAACATTCCCCAGGCCCACTGCTCCACGACTCTGGGGTACTTGCTTAGCAAGATCAGGCCCCCGCACATTCACACGGACAGACGGACACCCTGACGCTGTCCGCGTCCAAGGGACTGCCCCTTCCCGGCACTCCCCACGTGTTGCTGAGTGTAGGAGGGAAAGGGAGAGCTGGAGCTTACTGGAGGGAGCTGGCAGAAAGTGTGCGCGAAGGGGGAGGGCGGGGCAGAAAAGGGCAGGGGAGGGTCGGTGAGTGCCCGGGAAAGGCGGGGGTATTGCGAGGTGTGGGAGAGCGTCGGCGCCAGGCCCGGGAGCGCATCTCGTCCAGATAACCCACAGGCACTTGCCAGTTCGTGTCTTTTAGTTCCATTTTACTGTACAGCAACTCTCAGATCAGCCGTTTCATTTAGTTTTCAGCGGGGGAGTGTGCATGTGTGATGTTGTGGCGCCTTTTTTTTTAACGTTGTTTTTTTTTCTTCCATGGCAGTTTACGCATGATAATAAAAGCTATAACCTCGTCAGACGTTCAGGTGACCCGGCCTGATGTCATCTGCATGTGGCGCAGCTGGGAGGGAGGGTCCTCACCACCCCTCTGTCCAGTGAAGGAGCATTTCGTGGGGCTTCTTGTCCCGCTGTAGCCCTCCGGGCTCGTTGGCTCTGATTTCTGGAATCGTCCCTCTTTTTATCTTCATGGATGATTTAATGTGCCCTCCTCCCCCACTCCGTTGCTCCCAGAGGCTCGGAGCCGTCCCATCGATGCCCCGCCCGGCGCTTGTTGCGGTGTGACTCCGGCTGAGGGCACGGAGGAGTGGAACTGGAGGGAACGGCTTTTCCCCGGGGCCCAGCGCCACTCCTACGAGCTCAGCGAGCCACGTACGGTGGGGGGAAGGAGAGGGGGAAAAAAAGTGGGGGGAGAACGGCTGGGAAAGAGCTGTGGAGTTCAGGCCAAGTTTGCGTTTTGGCTCGAAGTTTGGAGCGGATCAAATCTGTTATCGCTCTGTGCCTCCTGTCCTTCTGGCTGCTCTGCCGCCGCCCCCCTCCCGGGGCAGATGGACCCTCCGTCAGAGCTCTGACCGCGGGGGCGGGATCTGGCCCATGGGGAGCCTTGACCCCAAGCTCCCCACGCTACACGCGGCCTAACTCCGCAGAGGGCACCTCCACCGCGCTCCCCTTCGCCTTACTCCCTGGATTGTCCTTCCTTTTACTGAAAACGAGATGACTTTTTGGTTTAATTCTTCCACATACGCGATTTTAATAGCTCTGTCAATCATGTTAAAGGAGGAACATTTCATACAATTTTAGATTTAATGTCCTTAAACCATAAATCGCTTAAACCTATTCTTAGTTTTGCATATTCAATTATTCTCTTATATATAACTCGCACAGCAAAAAGCCGGAAGACCTAATTATTTTACTGTACCTAAACCCAACTCATCTGCCTAGGAAAGCTGTTTCGTTTGTATACCCAAACGTGAAGTTTAACTTAAGTAAAGTGAACTGCCAAACCAACCAGTAAAACACAACTAAAAAAAAAAGCAGCAAAAAATTCTACCCTGATGATGTTTCGGGGAGGGCGGGGGGGGGGGGGGGGATGGTTTTGGTATTTTGTAGTGGAGTTTTTTAATTTTTTGTTTGATGGGGGTTTTGTGGTTGTTTTTTGTTTGTTTGTTTGTTTTTTGTTTGTTTGTTTGTTTGTCTTTTGGAGGGTGGCCTTTCGCAGAGCAAAATGTATTTCTTTGAAAGGCGGGCTGAGAATATTCGAAGCTTATTTGAATATAACCGAGATTGGGTCTGTTTAATCCACTTGTGTTGAAAGAGCAGGTATTCCCATTATTCTAGGCATAACGCCATTGAGCCGCAAAATTCTGAGGGTAGGAGGGAAAACTCGTTAAAAGGAGATAATTTAGACAGCCGTAATATTTCCTTTTTTAAGCGTTTCCCCGTAGTATTTCTGTTGTTTGGAAGCAAATAAACAGATGTTTATTTGCTTTTCTCCCTTGACTGTCCCAGTCCACCTATTCCATCAGACGTGTTCAGCGATACAGGATCGTCTCACTGGGATTTTTCTATTCTGCATAGTCAGCAAATGTGATTTTCAATAGCTATGATCCTTAAAGAAAAGACACGTAACAGGGTTGCCTCAGATGTATATGTGTCTGCATGTGCATATGTACACACACACACACTCCTCTTCGGTCACGATGCTATCTACAGTGTGTATAGATATTTACGAGTACGTAGTATGCACATGAAGGAAAACACATTTCAAGAAACAGTTCAACAGGTAGCCAGCCTAATCTGCATATCTAAAGGTACGGCTAATAATATTTTAAATTACATCTAGGACTGTGTTTGGCTGGAGGTAACCGACGCCAGGGAAGTTTTCTCACAGTTTCCTGCTTTCTGTGTGCTCTGTTCGGAGGCTGAACATTTCCAAAAGTCGCCTGTCGACTGAACCCGCACACACCTCGCTGTGATAAAGGCTCAAATAGTTGAAAAAAAAAAATGTGTGGGGCTTATTTTCGGTTGAAATCAACAGACACCTTCCATGAAAATTCTACGTTCAGTTTAAAGCATGAGTGATTTATACAAAATTATCAACATAACTCGGAAGAGTTATATATGTCAATTGACATGTAAGCATTATAGAAGAAGTGCAATCTCTAACCGGGACCAAAACCGCTCCTCATTAACCAACTAAAACTTCCGCACTCATTATGGACGAAGTATTTATTCGCCAGCGCTAAAAGATAATTTAAAAAGTCCTACTGCCTGCTGCCGCCGACATTACAGTCATGGAAGTTAATTTTGTTTCCTTTTGTTTAAGTAGTTATAACTATTTTAAAAATTCATTTGCTACAGAAGTTTACAGCAAACTTTTAATTCTAACATATCGAAAAGTATCGACCGACAGCTAGAAAAAAAATTAAATTTCAAAGCACTGAACAACATTCTGCAACGAACTGACATACATCGTTTTGCTCGACAGCTTTAGCACCAGTCGCTGAAAATTGAGGGGGGGGGGGGGCCCGTCGGAGGGGACAGAAACGTGTGACCCCTCTGTTCCCCGCTCGCCCCCCGGGATGCTCCGGAGGGATGGGGCTACTTTTCGGGCTTGAGGTTTAGAGGTCGCTTTTCTTTTCGAGACGAGCAAAACTAAGCTCTTTCTCTTTTCAAGGTGTTAATTAGAGGGGAAGTGCCGCCCTGACCGGTGCCTTCTCGATTCCCGGGGAGGTAGGTGCCCCTCCTGGGCCGGCGGGAACTCCCGGCCGAGCGGGGACCCGAGGAGAGCAGGGGTGGGCAGCACCCGATTACCCCCCAAGGGGAAAGTTACTGCCCCGGCAAGGTTTAGACCACCAGCCCAGCCATAAAGTCCACAAAATAAATGTTCACGGCTAGAAGAGTAACGCAGTAAGAGGCTTTCCCTTGCAGTAGGGAACGAGTATTAAAATAAATCTACCTTCATCCCTCCCGATTTACACAGGTTAGGGAACATCGATATTTACTGCAGATTGCACTTCATTCTGTTTGCAGCTGCTGTTTAAAACTTCCTCCCCAAAATTTAGGTTTACCCGCTGTATTTCTAGGTTTACCATGGTAAACACTACTAAGTTCTCCAGGAAATTTTTGTTTGTTTGTTTGTTTTTAAAAACCAGGTGACTTTTTCCGCTTTGAAATTTATTTAACTCAAAAAAAAAAAAAAAAGGACGCATCCTTCGGATTTCTGTTTAGCAGAAAAGCTTTTTAGTAAACTATGTACAAAATCTGAATTCCTTCATAATGCCTAAATAAAAATTATTTCACAATGCATTTACAAGAAATGATACAAAAAAGAAAACAAAACCGAAGAGAAAACAAACAAACAAAAATATCCAGATACAATAAAATTTTACAAACCTCAGGGAAAAAAATGTAGCTTCTAAAAGAAAAACAAAAGTTTTATAAATAAACAAACAAGTAACAAAAAAACCCCAACCCAACAAAACCGCGAGAATATCTACAAAAAACTTTTTAATTATTCTTTTGGATTTGCTTTAGTACATGAGTAATAAATGAGAACTGTTTCCTCATCAACTTCGAGTTAATTAGTCAATAAAAAGCCTTCGCAAGAAGCGATCCGTGACTGAAATCGTAGCAGTTCCACGCGGTATAAAAGTTGGCATCGCCTACAACTTTTTGTTGGTATTTTTTTGTCTTTTCACCATCGTTTCCCCCCCTTTCTCCTTTTTTCCTCCCTTATTTTCTCTTTCTCTTCTTTTGCAAATAAACGCACTATGCCTCTTGGGTGAATGATAAATACTGTACAAAAAGTCTCGATAAAACACGGAAGTTCAGTTTAAAACTAGTTTCATAAACTAGTCCTTCTAAAAAAAAAAAAGGTAAGTAAAGCAACCGTTACCTTTTTTCTCTCTCGTCATTATTATTATTATTTATTATTATTATTACAAGAACATCAAAACATTTCTGTACAAAAAGGAAGGAAGAAAGAAAAAAAAAAGAGAGGCGGGGAAGGGCGGGAGGGAAGGGGCGCGAGAGGCAAAAATAAGAGGGGGAACCTGGGAGCGGGGCAGGAGAGGCGCGGGGCCGGGACGCGGGAGGGCGGCCGGGGCTGAGCGTGCGGTGGCAGCGGCGGGGCGCGCAGTCCAGCGGAACGGCCCGGGGCCGCGGCCGGGGCCCGAAAGCCGAGCCGGTGCTCGCACCCGAGCCTGCCTCCGCCGCTCCGGTGCCGGCGGGGGTTCAGATATGCGTCAAGGGGACGGTGCCGTTCACCCCCGTGCTGGCGCTCTGGTAGTGCTGGGGCAGGGAGTGGAGCCGGCTCTGGGCGGCAGCTGCCGCCGGATCACCACCTTCCCCGGCCGGTAAGTACATGCTGATCATCTCCCGCAGGTCCCCGGGGCACGGGGCCCGCGAGTGCGAAGTGACGGGCGGGCTCACGCTGGGCTCCGACTTTACCAGCGAGCCCAGGGCGCCCAGCGCCCCCGAGGAGGCGGCCGCCGCCGCCGCCGCCGCCGCCGCTGCCGCCGCCGAGTTCTGGTGGGGCTGGGAGCCGTAGGGCAGGGCGCCGTAGCCCGAGGGCGAGGCGCTCATGTAGCCCTGCGAGTTGGAGATGGGGCTGTACTGCAGGGCGCCCATGTCGTAGCGGTGCATGGGCTGCGGGTTGTGCGGGTGGTGCGGGTGATGGGGGTGCGGGTGGTGCGGGTGCCCCCCGCTGCCCGGGTGCTGGCTGTAGGCGAGCTGCGCCTCCTGCATCATCGCCGCCGCCGCCGCCGCCGCCGCCACCGAGCCCGGGTAGGCGCCGTTCGCCCAGCCGTTCATGTGCGCGTAGCCGCCGCTGGCCGTGCCGCCGGGGCTCTCCAGCCGCTGCCCAACACCGCCCGGGCTGACGCCGACGCCCATGCCCACGCCGACACCGGCCGGGCCTCCCGCGGCCGAGCCGGCGCTCAGCAGCCCCCCGGCCAGCGAGTACTTGTCCTTCTTGAGCAGGGTCTTGGTCTTCCGCCGGGGCCGGTATTTATAATCCGGGTGCTCCTTCATGTGCAGCGCCCGCAACCGCTTCGCCTCGTCGATGAACGGTCTCTTCTCGGCCTCCGACATGACTTTCCACTCGGCCCCCAAGCGCTTGCTGATCTCCGAGTTGTGCATTTTGGGGTTCTCCTGGGCCATCTTCCGCCGCTGGCCCCGCGACCACACCATGAAGGCGTTCATGGGTCTCTTGACCCGGTCCTGGTTCGCTTTGTTCCCCCCGCCGCCGCCGCCGCCGCCTCCTCCGCCGCCTCCCGCTCCGGTCTGCCCCGAGAGGTTCGTGGGGGCCTGGGCTCCGCCGGGGGAGTGCAAGTCCGTCTCCATCATCATGCTGTACATTCAAGTAGCTTTTTTATTTTCCACCGGCGCCAGACGTGAAAAATGAATCAAACATAGAGGAGCCCGGGCGGACGGGGAGCGAGCGAGGTGAAACCCGTTCGTATCTAGGTAGCTACCGCCGTGGAAAAAAAAAGAAAGGAAAAAAAAAAAAGAGGAGAAGAAAACCGCGAGGAGGGCGATCGGCGACCCCACCGGCGAAAAACTTTCTCCCTTTTGCAAACCACTTTCGGGGCTCGGCGGCGACGGGAGTTCGAGCTGCTCAAACAGGTGCACGGCAAACTTGCTCCTTCACTTGGCGCGGCGGGAGGAGTGTGCGGAGCCGTCGGCGGTGTCCTCCGCTCGCCGGCGCTCCCCGGCAGACGCGCGCACACCCCTCCGCTCCCTCTCTTATCCTTAACGGAGCTATTTTTTTTTTGTTCTTTGCTGCTAACTTGGAGAGAGAGAGGGAGGGAGGGGAGAGAGCGTGTGTGACTTGCATCCGCTGATCGCAGGTGAACGGAGCAGAAGAGAGGAGAACCCACCGCCACGCGAAAGGAGGCGAAAAAAAAAAAAGTATTTAAACGTTAACTGAAAAAAAAAAAAAGCGGGAGGAGGATCAGGGGAGGGAGGGGGTGGGGGGAAGAAGCCCAACCAAAACACGCGCCGAGCCCGGCGGCCGGGGCGCGGCGGCACAGTAATTTGCTGGCGGTGGTCTCCCTCCCGCGGCCCGGGCGGGACGGGCCGGGAAGGGGCCGGGACGGGGCCGGGACGGGGCCGGGAAAGGAGGAGAAGGAGGAGGAGCCGCCGGGCGCGCGGGCGAACGGCGCCGCAGCCATACGGCGCGCGCCGAGCCCGCCTTAAATCGCCTGCCGGCGGCCAATGGGGGTGCGCCGCCGGGCCGTGATTTGCATATGGCGCGCGCCGGGCGGTGACGTGCGGCGGGGCGCGCCGCGCGCGGGGGGGCGCGCGGGCGGAGGGGGCGCCCCCGAGGCGGGGACACAACGCACCCCATCCCGCCATCCCGGCCAACCCGCCCGCCCCACGGGCAGCGCCCCGGGCAGGCCCGGCCCCGCGCTTAGGCGACCGTCGAGCGGTATTTAGGGGGGCTGAGGTGCCCCAGGCTGTCCGCCCCGCCACAGAACCGGTGCGAGCGGCGCCTAAGACTGCCTTTTCCTCGGGACTTGGTCCGTTCTGGAGATTTCTCCAGTGCCCCCTCAGACGTCTCTCCCAGGTGTTAAAACTGCTCCCAGGCACGAGGCAGAGTTAAAACTAGGCCCGGGCACGAGGCAGAGACTGGACGCAGTCATTATTCACTTAGTCCTAGGGGATTTAAAATCACCTGCGACTAAAGAAGATACATGAAAAAATATGTTATATTGATGTAGAGTAAGTACAGGTGTATGACTTTTTTTTCCCCCTTGAAAATATTAAAAGACTACCTTTGTGCCTTGGCTGTCCTGTGAGATTTTAGTTATTTTACAGAGGGGAGAAAATGGTCCACGTGGAAATTAATGCTGCAATCTTTAATTGCAGCCATAGGAATGGCAAGTCTGTCGCACAAGTGCCCACGCAGATATAAACTGCTGCCCCCATCATCTTTTGTCAGGTGGAGAAAGGGACACATGCATCCCTGTTCTTTTCATGGTCTGTGAGTGTAAATTCTCCTGACCCTAGTGGCCATTCAAGGCTGGAATCATGCCGCAGCTTCCCCAGCTACTGCTATTACCACCAGAAGTTTTCTGCAGTGAGAATACACGCCATACACAAAGCACCACCCTTAGGCGCTGGGCTATGATTAGACTTTTTTTTTCCCATTTCCAATGACTTGTTGTGAAATAGTGATCTCATCATGATAATCTGGGTTTTCTGGCAAGACGAAAGCACCTCTCAATTGCTGCTGTCCAAAGGCTTGGCCTGCTTCTGGGCCTTTTGAGCTCAGCCTGAGTGATGATGTTAGCTCAGATGGGCATGCTTTTGGGAGGATCCTGTTCCCTTCTAGTCAACCTTAGGGATTCAAAGAGGGGACAGGAGGTAGTGCAGGATTGGACACATGTTTCTCCAGCTGATATTTTCTCAAGTTGCCACATCTGCTGTGGCAAAACAAGCGAGGCTGCTGTGATTGCTAAATTATGTATTTAAAAAATAATTGGTTGAGGTAGGAGGGGAGGGGGAAGGGAGAGAACGCTTCTGCAGAAAGGCACGTTTCCACTTGGATGGCCAAATGAAGATATTAGGAGTAAAACCTGCGAGATAAATGACATGGCTCGCACATTATCCATCCACTCAAGGCCTTAGTGGTATTTCTTCCTGAAATTTGATATTAAGGTACCTAAAGGCCTCCTGATAAATAAATGGGTCGAATCTCTGTAGGCCAACCTTTTCCAGAGGAGTTCTTTGCATCCTGCCAGCCAGAAGTCCCCATGGGAACATATGCTTATCCCTAGGAACTGGTGAAACACACCAGCTTCCCTCTCCCTCACATGCAGGTAAAAGGTGGAGGAGGCTGACCCTGTCTTCCCTTCTCTGGTGTGAGGGCAATCGCTCATCTGGAAGCCCCTGAGGCTGCCCCCCTCCTGGGACTTTTGTCCGTCTGGGGTTTCCCTCTCTTTCCTTCCGCCCCCGGCAGATAAACACAGAGCGCCCCTTCCCTCTCCTAAAAGCAGCCAAACTACCACGAACGCGGTCTTTTTGGGGGTGAAATGCAGACAGGGAGCGAGGAGCAAGGATATGCTGCTGCCGTGAGCCCTCTTGCCTCTGGCCCAGGCGCACCCAGTTCTCCGGCGGCTGGAGGATGTGTATCGACGGAACAGGGGGTAGAGGGGGGTGGGAGAGGAGACATAAAAACCAGCTCGGGAAGGCAGACAGGGGCTTTTCTTCCGTGGTAAAGGTAGCGCGGATCCCTGTTCGCGGGACAAGGAACGAGGTCAAGCGCTTTTGCGAGTGTCATTTGACAGGGGAGAAAAGCCAAAAGAGGTCTACGGGGCTAGGGTAATGCAGCTGGGGGCTGTGCCCGGAGATGGGAGGTACTTGGGCTTTCCCCAAGAGGAAAGTGGGTTGCCAAGAACCAGGGGTCGGGTGGTGAAAGGAATAGGTGGAGGCGGCCCCGAGAAGCGATGTGTGCTGGGTGAACGCTGCAGAGGAGCCAAAGGGAAAGTCCTGTTCCCAGTGCGGGAAGAACTAAAAGTCAGCTCGCAGCCCTGGCCACCGCCCGAGCCCGCGGAGTGGACAGGTGCCGGAAGGGCCCGCTCTCGGGCCGGCCGCACTGACGAGTGCCTCCCTCGGCCTCCGCTACCCCCCACCTCTGCGCTGTGCGGCGGGACGCGCCTCCCCCCGCTCCCGGCTGCGGCAGGAGGGCCGCCCCCTCGGGGCGGGGGTCGCCCGCCGCGGGCCCGGCCGACGCTGTGCCCTCTGTGCCGCCGCGGACGAGGAGGGGGCCAAGGGGCGGCGGGGCCGAGCCGGGCGCCCCGGAGCAGGCGGCGATCGCCGTCTACTGGCTGCCGCCGTGCCTCCCGCGCCCTCGCCCCAGATCGGGACCGGTGAGCGCCAGTCCGCGTCGGGGCGATGCTATGGGGAGATTATTAAGAGTGATGCTGGCTGATCCCGCGCCAGCCCTGCGTGAAACGCAGGGTGGGGAGGTGGGGGGATCGCTTGCAGCTCCTCTGGCACTTCACTGCAAAAGCCGCTGGCCCGCACGAAATGCGAAGCGCTCCCTCGCTCCCGGGCTGCCGTTACCCGGGCCAAGGCGAGCAACCATAAGGGAGCAGAAAGGGTAGGCAAGGGGGAGAGAGGAAGCCCTTTCCTGCCTCGGAGGAGACTTGTGGACGACCTGCTACCCAGTCGAGGTGGGATGGTGGAAAAAGGGCACCTGAATAAAGTCTCACTTTCTTTTCCAGTGTTAACTGTTCCGTGCGATCCTACAACCCCAGTCCCAAATCAGCTACGGGCTCTCTCTGTGTTTTGTTGTCTTTTCCCAGCTTGCTGGGTAAAAGCGTATGGAGAATCTCTGGAGCTTTCGAGTAGGGGCTCACCCTGTGAACGGTACTCACACATATAATTCAAATTTCACAGCTGACCTGCTCTGAAAACCTCAATCAGCTTCTAATTGAAGGGAAAACAAAATATTGCTTCCCTACAGCAGAGCTAACGATTTAATCATTATATCAGACATTATAGCTTTTAATTAGGCTAATGCTGATACTGTATGGAAAGAGATAATTCAACACAGTTCTTGATGAATTCTGTAATTGGGTTAACGGTGGAGCAGTTGGGGGAAGAGACGTCAATATTCAAGCTGCGTCTATAGCCACCAGGTTTATGAATGAAAGGGAAGGGGGGGAAAAGAAAAGGGAGGGGAAGAAAAGGGCTAAAATTCCCTGACGATAAATGTCTCCCCCCTTCGCCCAGGAGAGCCGTGCCAACCAACTGGAAGCGTGACGAGGGTAAGGGCTGTCCTGCCACCGCCTCGGCGCGCCCCGCTCCCGGCCGCCGGTCCCAGACAGCCCGGACTGTCGCGACACCAGCGCAACCCGAGTGGCGGCCCCGCTGCGGAACCACACTGCGGCTCCCCGGGGAGGCTCTGGGGGACGTCGGCTTGGCTCCCAGGCCGCTTTCCCTGTACCTGCACCCCAGCCGAAGGGTCGTCTACGGTCGCGCTGGGAGCATGAGGGGAGGGGGCAACCTGGGCCACCAGCACAGAAACCGCCCTGCGGGATGCCCTGGGGTAAAGTCGGGAGGCATGGTGGGGGAAACTGAGTATGGTACAGGACGGGGCCGAAAGGTTTCTGAAGTCGTTATGAGAGCAGGCAGTTGCCCTCCGCGCCCAGGGCCGGCGAGGCTCGGCTGCCCGGAGCCGCCCGCCCTGCGGGGCGCGGGTGCTGGGGACGGGGCGCGACACGGAGCACAGGGGTGTACTCAGGGCCAGCCTGTTCCGGGCAAAATCAAAGCGTCCGGAGGGCAGACGGCTGTTCCGTGTAGGTGCTTCCATTTATTTGTTTATTGTGCCAGATAGAAGGGGGCTGGAGCCGTTTTTCTAAAAGAATTCTGCATCGCCACTCCCTCCCCAATGTCGATAAATTGTCCCTTTCCGAAGAGTTTATCTATCCAAGCCTTTCTGTTTTCGCTCCTTTCTAGTTTCTAGTTCTAATTTCTACTGGCTTTGAAAATGAGCTTTATATTTTCTCTGCGCCTAAAAGTAGTATCGATCTCCCCACACGTTTGATCTCCGCAGTAGCCGGCGGCCGACAGCAGGTCCCGGTGGGCAGGTGGGCCGGGAGTGTCATCTCCCAGTTCAGTTCCCGGGACCGACACTGCAGAGGGAACGCCGAGGCACACCTCGGTGGGAGGGCGGGACGGTCAGTCGGCGCCTCAGCAGAGGTTTGCTTCCCCTCTCGTCTCCCCGAGAGGACATACTGCGTTGCCCCCTCGCATTGGAACGGCCCCGATCCTTCGCCCGATGGGAGTTCCGAGTCGGCAGAAAAAGCAGAATCGTGACTTTACGAAATTTTGCCAGCAGGAGCATTTTCTAAAAATGTTTGTTTATGCTACGCATTAGCTCGACTTCCAGCACAATATTGTTCCGAAAGAGGAATATCCTGTATTGTGATCTATCCTTGTCTTATTTTGTCAGTAATTACAGTAAAATTAAATGGGTCATTGATAACACTCCAATGACACAACTCCCTGTAATTAACAAGCTGAATACACCTTTTTTACATTACACAAAAGTTGTAATTTTCAAGTCTGTTCAGATTTTTTTTTTTTAATTATTATTACTAAGGCACATGCCAGGAATATGTGCTGATCAGATGGTACAGCATCTCGCGGGAGAAGAGGGTTTGCACTATCCTATTTCCTAGGGTTTGGGGCTTCTACCTAAGTGGATGGCCACACCTTTAACTTTTTACAATCGAGTTATCGATTGGCCCTCTAGACAAAAAAAAAAAAAAAAAAAAAAAAAAAAAAAAAAAAATATCCAAAACGAACCCCAAGAAAACCTACCAAACATTTTATTTTCCAACAAAAAGAAAATATTTTAAAAGTATAGTTTTGCAACTGTGAACTTTTAAAGGAAAAGGAAGAACTATGGGGATGGAGAGTCTGTCGGACTAGCATGACACGGGAAGTTAGTACGAAGTTAATCTTTAAAATTGTGCTGCTGAAATGTCAGTCACGCAAAAAGAGCTTCACAAGCCCAGGTGCGGCATCCCATTTCCAGAAGGGCAAACTGTCTGGTTATGTCTGTGGCACGTCGCTCAGAACACCGTAAAGGTAATATTTCTGGTTTGCATCCTCGTCAGTTATACCCCAATTGCAAAGGCATCATTTAGGGCAAGTCGGAATGAATTTGCATAAAAAATAAACGAGAGGGGGGAAAAAAGAAATAATGTAGAAGCTTATTTCTTGCAGGCCATCCTGTTATTGCAAATTAGATTAGCTACATAGGCTTCAATATAAACATGACACGAGGTTCACAGGAGAGTGAAAGTATCATCCACTCCAATCTCTCCTTTCATTGAAACATCCCCCACAAATTACATCTTCTCATTTAATATACTTTTTCATGAGATTAAAACATCACTTTGACACGATTTCAAACCTTTTCGGTCGCTCATCCAGTGCTTACTTCAGAAAACAGCAAACAAGGGGAAAACTAGAAACATCTAAATAATCCAGACCGCTGGTCTGGAAATTAAAGGTACCCAGAGGAAATACATGATCCTCTTGCTCCATCCAGTGCAGCATTCTGGCTATGGGAAGGCGGATAATGAACCCTTGAGACACGAGGCGAAAAAACCGGTTTCCTTCCCACCAACGGGATATCCCGATTACTTGGCCGCAGCCGTGTTTATTTGCCTTTGGAAAAGCGGTGTTTGTCGCAGATCTGTTTTTCAGCAGATCGCTGACTGATACTTCACATTCCCGTTACACGGATTCCCTGGCTGTCAACGTAAGGCGGGATAGCAAAAAGGCTACTGACACCTTTAGCAAATACATAATTTACATCAAAGACTGGCAAACCTGAAAAAGGTGCTGGGGCTGGGGGTGGGGGAGGGAGGGCACGTTGTTCATAGATTGTCCTGTTTTAGGAATAACAGCGCTTGCAACTATCTAAGGCTACAGTTTATCTGCACCCACAGCCTGAACCAGCCCGCAGCTGGTGCAGGGAGGCAGCCCCCGCCCCCGGCCGGACCCCTCCTCCCCGAGGGGCATATCCCTTTCCCGAGGTGGATGTGTCAATTTTTGCCACAGGGGCTGCGCAACCGGGCGGCCCACGGCGGGCAGGGGATGGCGGCAGCCCCCTGGGCCCGCAGCAGCCACTCTGCCCCTCCGCGGAGTCGGGACCAGGAGCGGCGGGCGGAGACGGGGCGCGCTGAGACGCTGGTGCAGCCCGGCTTGGTGGGAAGAAACGGTAGTTCGTCATCTTACTCCCTGCTTGATACTGTACGTCTGGGAACAATTTGCAACCACCCTTCCTAACCCCGTCCCGTCATCTATCCATCCCTTCATCTATTCATCCCTCCATCCATCCCTCCATCCATCCATCCATCTACCCTCCCCCCTTAACAAAGAGGCTTTCAAACCATAACCTTTTATGGCAGCCCGCGGGAATCAATGCGATAAAACGGGGTTTTAATGGGTTAATTGACTGGAGCCGCTATCATGTTTAAACACCTGTTTCTGAAAAGAGATTCAGCCAAAACCAGTCCCCTCCCTGATCGATAGATGTACAACCTTGCTCCGTTGCCTGTTGATCGACCCCAAATACCATCGTCGAATATGAGAGGAAAAATCCATGTCACCGTTTTAATATCTCGATACTTTATGGCAATAGTCAGAAGCTCTACAGGCACTTTGGAGTCGGGGAGAGAGGGTGGGACCCTGGGTCGGACCAACCCAGGTAGCCCTAAACCCCTAGTGTTTTTTTCGCCGGGACTCGACTTCGAGAGGCTGGGCACAACCTCCCTGTCGAGAGGTCCCGGCAGCTGTCACCTTCACAGAGAACCGGATCCGGGGATCCCCGTTCCCTGGGAAGACGGAGCCGGGCTCATTCCGGCCGCATTAGCAGTGCTGGGAGCCCATACGAATGCTCGTTCCGAGGGGCAGAGATTAAGCAAGCATTAGTTGTAATAGCTGAGGGCTGCTATGCCTATTGATTTCCCATTTTTTGGCAGTATTAATACAGCCAAGCCCACCGGTCAGTCACAGCGAAATTGATTCTTTGCCCAAGACACCTTTCACTAAATGGCACCCGCGCACCGACATGTTAATTTTTGAACGTGTAACCGGAGCGGGCGCTGCGCACTCGGGAGGTAGCGCCGTCGCCCCCGGCGCCCTCCCCGCCCCAACCCGCCCGCAGTCCCCGGCCCCGGCCCCGGTTGCCGCTTCCCTCCCCCGCCTCAAAACCCATGAGTCGTCTTCCCCAGAAGGCGGAGGGGGGCAGCCCAAAACACTGTCGCCCGCACTTCCCCCCTCCCCCCCAAATCCGTGTCATAGCCGATAACCCAGTGACTGCAATCGGCTCTTCCCTCCTTGCAGCAAAAGTAACTTGGAAGCCCTCCCTTCGCCGGCTTTCCCTCCTCCGTTCCCAAGACAGGGTGAAGACCCCCTCAAAAGTTAGAGGCACACTTACAGTTGCTCTTCCAGCTCCAGCCTCCTCCCAACATATCATCTGAAGGGGCAGCCTTATTATTATTACTTCCCTCCCCCCCCCTCTAGCCTAGCTCACACCTTCATCCGACCGTGCCCGCAGGTGCAGGGCAGCGCGACATGGAGTCGGCGGTCTCCTCCTCGCCCCTCGCCCAGCCGCAGCTCCCAGGCGGCTGTGCCCGAGCCACGAGTGCCCGGCGACACACGCACACTCACCATTCGCGCTCTCTCGCTCACTCGCTCTCTCTCTCTCCCCCTCACACACACACGCGCAACACACACACACACACCGCACTGGAGAGGGGGAGAGAGGGAGAGTGGGAGAGAGAGAAGAAAATGAAATTTATTATTGATAGAAAAGATTTTAAAGACAATTTCGAGTTATTGTTTCGGTCTGGAGAGAAAAGGGAAAAAAAAGAAACGGGAAAAAAAAGAGAGGGGCTTTTCTCCCCACCCCAACATAATGAAATGCCTTTTGTGTGGCACCGAACAATACCAAACAAGTATTCTAATAAATAGCCACTTTTTTGTTCCGTCGCGGCAGTGAATAGAATTGAGCAGTTGGTTTGAGAGCAGCTGGAGCGCCGCGCCGAGCGGGGAGGTGGAGCTCGGAGCCTTCCTCCTCTTTCTCTTCCCCTTTACCTCTCTCACACGCACTTTCTCCTCTAAGCTTGCATTTCTGCCTTCCAGCTCCTGCTGGGCCACTCTTCCCTGCCCCTTTCTCCGGTGGAGATGCCTCCTGGAAGGGAAGAGCCACCCCTGGGTGCTGCTTCCCGCACCTGTGCCACGCCGCGGGGCTCCCCGCGCTTCCGCCCGTCCCTCCCCACGTTCGCCTCGGTCGCCCCGAGCCCCCGCTCCTGCTCTCCCCGCTGTGTCCTGACGGTCCCCGGCCGCCCAGGGACCCCTTTCCCGCGCCCCCCCCGCCGTACTCTGCCTCCGGCAGCTCGGGACGGCGGAGGCTCCGAGCCTGGCCAGACCCTCCTTTGTTGACAATAAACTTGGATTTCACAGGGAGGCTCAGAGCCCCTCTCCGCCCCTCTCGCTCCCCCTCTCCCGGCCTTCCCTCGCTTTCCCCGAGCTGGAACCGGGCTTTGTCAGCCTCCCCCTCTCCGCTCGGGATCGCTGCGGAGGGTCCGCACCTCCTCCACCCTGTACCACTCACTGAGATCACCTCCCCTTTCCTAGACAGCGCCGTTAGTTTTTTTCTGCATGTTTTTTCCCTCCCCGAAATACTCTTCCAGTCCCTTTCTGCCAACGTGACAACCGTTCTAGGAAAGCAAGTCGATAGATGTTATTAAAATGGACAAAATCAGCTAAAGATTTTCAGGTAAAGCTGAGAGTGCCCCGCTTTCCGTTCTGCTTCGGCTGTGCGGGTGTGTACCTGTTCGTCTGTGCCAGGGGTGTGCAGTGAGGAGGGAGGGCAGAGGGGGACACAGGATATGGTTTTCCTCGCCAGTGGAGCCGGCTATAGCGTCCAGGCGGGTCATGGCTGCCTGTACCCTGATGAGGGACCAGCCGCGCCAGGGCTGGGAATGAACACCGGGGGCAGCCGCCTTCCTGTGGCCGGACTGTCTTCTTCTCTTACTGGGGAGGGATCTAGTCCTCATTTAAAAAATAAATTAATAAATACATCCTCCTACCCCCACCGTTTTCTCCCATTTTCTTGCCATTCAGAGCTCTTCTTGTCTCGCAAAAGCTGCGGGAAGCACCCGAGGTTCAAATACACCCCAACAATTTCTGCAAAGACTCCTTAGCATGCAGGGATTACCTCGTCAGCTATTTCGAGTTGCTCAGTCACATACAATCATTAGATATGTTGGAATAAAAAGCAGATTGCTTTAAAGTTAAACCATCGTTGCCCTTTACAGACTCGTATTGGCGCCTGAAGGGGGAACAAGGGAACGGACGGGCATATATATTAACGACCTAAATTAAATGTTACATCCTCATCCGTGGGAATAGAAGTGGGAGAGACCTCGGCCAAGGTGCAGCGCTCGCTCTCCATTAGCGCTTTCCCTTGCACGTCCTTCCAGAGCTGCCCAGAGGGATCCCTGAAGGTGGGGGCAGAAAGCGGGGGGGGGAGGGAGGGGGCCCGCGGGGGTGCAGGGATGCCTTCGGTGTTCCCTCCCCAGAGCTCGTCCCTTTCCCCGGGGGAGTCTCGCTGTGCTCCACGCCCGGGTGCGTACCTCTGCCTGCACGGAAAATTCCTCTCCCTTCTTTTTCCCCCCCTCCCTCCCCTCTCTTTTAAGTGGATTTTTGCTCTCACTTCAATAACACATCGGCTCTAATTAGCTGCAATATTAAGAAACGCTGCTAAATGACAGTTTTATCGGGTTTGTGCAGATAGGAGGAACGCGGGGACCCAGCGAAATACCCACCCAATGCGTTCGGCGCTGGATCCCCGCCAGCAACCGCTGCTCGCTCTTTTTATATGGAAAAATGGCAACATTTTGGAAAGCAGCTTTAAAACTTTGACTTATATTTTACATGCTAAATAACGGGGAGAATGGCGACAGCGTTACAGAAAGCTTCAACCCTGCAAATATTTGAATGGGGCTTTTTTGTAAAGTAGAGCAGCTGTCAGTCAGCTGGCTTTGACAGCCTGCCACAATTTTGTCATTTAATAGTGGGTGTTAGGCTAAGTGCAAAACACTCTGGCAAACAGATGTCAAACCTACATCTCATATAAATGGGGGTTGTAAAATTGAGTTTTAACCCACATATAGGGTTTTAAAAAGCGGTGCCAGTGTGTAAACTGTATACAAAATAGAGATACTGACAATCTCCCGTGTGGGTTTGTTATTTAAAGTAGGCTTATTTAGAAATCTGACCTCCAAATTATGCTAAATCTTCCTACATTTCAAACAGTGGAATATGAGAACAGTGCTTGGGAAAGTCGAAATTAAGGACAAATATGATGGCTTGTTGAAAGGGGCTGATTGCCATGTGTACTGAGAAACCAAGGCACATTCAACTCACCATCGCTCTTCCAAGTCCGAAGAGAAGGAAGGAAGGAAGGAAGGAAGGGGGAAAGGAGGGAAGGAAAGGGGGAAGAAGGGAAGGAAGGAGGGAAGGAAAAGAAGGGTTTGGCAGGTTCCGAGGTTCAGGGACTGTCTTTTAAAGCGGGACCCGAGGGATTTGATTTAGGCGGCAGGGGAAGGAAAGATCACAGACGCAGCGAGTACAACCACAGACTCCGTAGGATGAACGAGGGACCGTGCAAGGAGGTGGCCAGACCTGCTGAAAAGAATGGCAGGCACCCGTCTAGAACATGGCAAAAGAGATTTTGAGCGGTAGCGGGAAGAAATATTACTCAGTGTTAATTTCTTCGGAAGTTACTATTTGAAACACGAACTGCTTTTTCTTTTGAACTCACATTTCCAAGACTCATATTTTCACCGAGATGTGGTTTCCCCCTGTACTTCGAGGGACCTCCCTGACAAATTTCCTTTGAACATTTAAAAAACCGTCATAAATATTTACACCAAAAATTGTTCGTTGCCTCAGCTGGTTAGAATGAAGCAAGAAGAGAAAATGATTCAGTAATGATATTATATGGATTATATAAAATTCCCTAGAATAAGTCTGCACCCATATTATCATTTTCGAAGCTAGACATGTAGCTTCCTACACAAGTCAATATGAGGGGATTAAATGAAACATTTAATCGAAAAGAATTGTTGATATTAATAATTAACCATAGTTTAAATACACGCTCAGCTGATTTCCTTGTCGAGTACTCAGTTGCAATATTTGAACGGTCCTAGCTGATGTTAAATGAGTAGAGGAATGTACACGGGATGATTATTGATCACACGCAGTTACTGCTGTCTACTTTAAATCCCATTTGATCCGAACTCTCTCCACGTTCATCTCAAATTCCCCAAAGCTCTGCTGCTTGTTTACAGCGTTTCCTCTTCTCAGGTTTTTGTTTGTTGTTTTGCGGGGGCTGTAGACACTTACTTTTGCAGAACTACAATGAATGCCTGAGACTGGCTAATTCTGCCCCAGGTATTCAAAAGCACAAGGGGAGATGTGGATGCCCGCAGCCCCGTGCCCGACGGGAGGTCACCCCGCTCTGTGGGCAGCGGGCAGCGGCCCTTGGCCGCCACTCCGAGGTTGCAGATCTCACCCCTGGGCTCTCGGAAAGGGGCTCGGAGCCTCCCGCATCCCTTACCAGGAGTCTTGGGCCAGTACTGCAGACACTCTCCTTTCGGGTCTGACCTGAAAGTTGTCGCTTCAGAAATTCCAGATTTAAAAAAAATATATTAAAAAAAGCCTAGCGCTTCGCCTGGAGTGCTCCAGGCTGAGGGTACTGAGGACTCTTCGGGTCCCAAGCACCAGCCCCGAGGTAAGGTCTTTTCCATGCCTTGACAAGGCCAACTACAGTCTAGCATCGGTTAATATCGTCGAAGAAGAAATCAGGTTTTAGTTTGGAATAATTGCCTCCAACTTGTTTTAAGTCAATTGTAGCTGGAACTGTGATGGACAGTGAGGCTGGCTCTGTGGCCAGTCCCTGGCTCTAGAGAGGAGCCGTGGTCTGTCTTTATTCAATTCCCTCACACAGAAGAATTCCTGTATGCAGCCCATTTGCCTGCAAAGAAAGGCTATGGTAGAACACGACCCTTATTTTCAAACAACTGACTGACCAACAAATCTGCAAAAAATATTTATCAATATCTTTGATAGATACTAAAAATCTCCTCTTGCCACCTAAAAATGAACATTTTGTTACCTCTAATGTATTTGCTTTTTTAACAATATACTTGTACAATTGTTGCTTTCCATCACAGACACAGCCGCCCCCTTTTCAGCATTATGCAATGAAACAGTTCCAGACCTCAGAATTCAGAATATAATTGACACAGCAAAATATTTTTTTCCTCAAACATAGCAGTTTGATCAAGTCTTGAAATAAAGTCCAGTGACAACCTGCCTGTTCTACAATTGTTCTGAAATACAGATCTGCACCCTCTCCAACTGCAGTGTCATAAGAAATCCAAGCACTCAACTTGTATTTATTCCCGTACTTGAAACGTTAATATTAGCATGTTTTCAAGGATGAAATATCATAGCACAAATTCAAATGGTAGCGCTGGGAAATGACTAAAATAACATGGGAAATGTAAACAAAGATGATTATGATTTTAGCATTTAAGGATTAAATGGTGTTTGTGCTGTACATAGGAAAACCAAAGTTTGCCAAAATTTTGTCTTCCTTGACAAAATGAGTGTGGTGGAATTATGCCTAATCCATACTAGAGTGAAATCAGAGGGAAGCTACAAGTCCTGTAACATAAAGATTGCAAGCTATAAAAATCAAAATCTAATTGCATTGCTGTATAGAACTCATTTTTTACAATGTTTGTGTTGATTCTCTCATTTCATTTTAGAGCAGCAGATAGCAATGGAATTGCTTCCTTAGTGTTTTGTAGTTTTGGTTTTAACTTTTTTTTTTGGTGCTTTTTTTTTTTTAAGGTCTTAGACCCTTTCAACAGGGTCTGAAGTCTGAACCACACCATTCAAGAGCAGAATATACATTCCAAGACCGAAGTGCGAAACAGTTTTTCAAATGGCTTGTGAATAGAAAGTATGGGGTGCAGCTCAGGTTATCCCACTGTGATGTGATCCAGTCCTTCGAGGAAATCATCGAAGTTGAAGGTAGTGCTGTAAAATGGAGCATGGCATAGCATCAGGTATTAAAGAGACTGAGGCAAACTAACCCTTCTCAATGTAGAATGAAACATTTAGAGACTGTCATCACTGTCATGAGCCCACCAGAACATGTTATGGCTTTAAGAAATCAGTTTCTTTCTGAGTATCTAAGCAAATGTATTAAAGATCAAATTTTTACTGTGAGGGCAAAAATGTTTGCACATATTTTATATACACTTATAATATATTTGTATTTCCTGGGGGAGGTGATAGTACCTTTTCCATTTGATGCCCTAGCAGTATATGCAAGTTCCAGTGCTGGAGAAGTGCCTTCTCAAGTCATTGGGATGAGGCATAGCGTGCTGATACAGTGACTGCTATGAAACTATTCAAACCTCTTCCAGTGAAGATGATTCACTTCTGTGATTTTACCAGGACTGTCACTAGTTCACCCAAGGGCTGAATTGCTTTTCTGTTACATTAGGTCCAGCTGTGCTGTCAATTTGTCGCCTTAAGCTTCAGCCAAGGGTCCTGATGTCCTAATTGTTGCCATTGTAGAAATCCTGGGGTTTTGGCTGGGATGGACATCCTTTGTGAGAAAACCAGGAGGAAGGAGAGAGGATGGTTTTCCCCAAAGCCCTCTCCTCATAGGCACTATAGCCATGGGCCAGTCTAAAGTGGGAGCCATGGACTCAGTCCCCGCTGCAGATCCCAAAAGTTGTTCACATGCATTGAAACAGTTCAATCAACTGGCTGTTAATAACAATTAAAAAACAGCCTTGAGTCCTTGGTAAGTCCTTTATATTTCAACATTTGTAGGGATCCAGAATATTTAGACACAAAATTCTCACTGAACATAAACTCTGCATATAAATCCTGGACTTAAATCTCCTTGAGCTGGAGATGTGAGATATCAGGCTTAATCTCCACGAGCCTTCACTGAACCATAAATATACTGACTACCATAGCACACGGGAACATCACAGAAGAATTGACTACAAATTTGCTAATACTTTTAAAGAGAGATAAAGAGGTAACAAATGTGCTAATGATTATCATTACTGTTTACCACCATGACACTCACTGGCTGGGAAGGCAGGAAATAATGTTCAGAATATCTGAGGAATATTGCCTTGTTTGAAAATATCTCTGCTACTAATGTGATGACTGTCTATGGAGTTGTGGTTGCTGGGAATTCACACACTGATTTCATGGAGAGATAAAAGAGTGGAGTTTATATGGAATAAACCCCTTTTGAATAAAACAATCTGCATAAATGCTTTAAGAAAGCCTATAATTATGATAAAAATGTTGCTCAAAGTTAAAATTATGAAGCAATCAAAATTTATAAACAGTCTCTCATCGACTTTTAATCATACTTTCTCATATACAAACTGTAGAAAACATATAGTAGCAATATATAACAATATGCATTTTATTTTTGGTAATTTAGGGTGCTATGTCATGCTCTTTAATCAGACAAAGCTTGGCTTGTCAAGATCTGTCGTATTATCCTTAAATGTCAAAAAACACATTTAGGCCTCCAAGTTATATATACACTTAGCTGAGGTTTTATCCTGCTGGCAACCTCTGGAGAGGTGGTGTGCCCTCTCTGGGCTAGATCCGAAGCTTTCTTCTGTCATATTCCCACCAAGATCCTCTGGCTAGGGCCTCTACTCTGACTGCCTGCTCTGAAGGTGCTCACTCAGTCTAACACAGGATCCTACTCACACCTCCCCTGAAATTCTCTTGTAGACATTGCTCTTCATTTGTGATTCACTAAGGAGAATGCTTAAATTATATGCATCATGTAGAACTTGGATGGCAAGAGATATTCAAAACAAGGAATATTTGTAATGGGAACCTTGCCAACTTGAATGGTAGCCTACCATGTCTATAAGCTCCATTGTTTCCTTTGAGCTGAACTAGCTGAACACATTCAGGATGCATCCTGATAGTAACATGCCTCTCTTGGCAAGTAGTAAAATTCACTGGTACTGTGTCCTTAAAAATGTTATCACAGATAGGTCAAATTAATGAAGTATTTGCTTCAAACAATACATATTTTTTTAATGCAGTATTACTAGATTCTTTTCTGGAACAGAATAGCATGCAGAGTATTCCATCTGAACTCCTTATGAAAATGAGATCTTCTATTGAACTGACTGGCACAGCTCTTATAGATAGATTGAAGGATGGAGAAGCACCATGCATGCAGCTTGACGTACATTCTCAGATAGCATTTGACTATCAAGCAGTGGCATTCTTGGACGTGCTTGTTATGCTCCTGCCCATGCCCCAAATCCAAGCATGGTGCAACTTCCCTTTTCAGCCGAAAAAAGAGGACCATTCTAATTTTAGGACTTTGTGGTTTTGTGAGAGAAAGGCGAATTTTATTTTTTCTTCTTTTTACAGCCCAATTTTCTGACTCTTGGCCCTATTAGGGGTTTGCCTGCTGAAGGATGGGTAGAAGTTATTTTCTGTGATTAATACAACATTTCACTTAAAAGACTTCTTTGCTATGAAATCTCTATATTTAGCAGTCTATAATCATTAAATGTAAACATCAAGCTTCGCTTTGTGTCTGTATGTGGCCTAAAAATGTGGTTCTGTTTCTAGCTGAGAGAGATGAATGTCATGAGTGCTCTGTGTAGGATGGAGAACACAAATACCACAACAAAACCTAAACAAACCTAAAGCATGAAACAAAACATTTTGTACACGTACATTAAAATTATATTGAAAATTGGGAGCACGAACTACCAAACTAGGCTTCTTTCTGCAACAAACTGCAACGTCTGTTAAAAAAAATTTAAAGCATAATTGCAAATTGAAATTTCCTCCCTATTCTTCGACATTTGCGTTTTTCTCTTAACATCTCCCACATGTTAATGCAGCAGCTTCCTAACCCTCTTGTTATGTATCACATTCAAATGTAACAGTTTAGCAAATTCTCCAATTGTGTTGGTGTTCCCTTTCAGACATGGAAAGCAATTTGATGTGTCCTTTTAATGAGCCATTTTCATGCAAGGAGGAAAACAGTGGTTGGGGAAGTTACTAAAGCTTTCTGCTCATTGATTTTAAGACTCTCTATTGAATCTATGTTGCTTAAAACCCAGATTGTTTTGTTAGAAGAGTTATTCAAACCATATTTTCTTCTAACTCCTAAGTTTGAAGAAATCTAGATTCCTTTTACTCCTTTCCAGGGGCTGCAGATTTGTCACTGAATTGACTCTACCACAGAACTGTGAAGTGAAATCCAAGACTTAATTTAAAAAGTTTTTAGCTCTTGGGTTGCTAATGGTGACTGTCAAAATGTTAGAAGGATGCAAAACCATTTGTGGATGGTAGTGCAGGGGAAGTGCAGAGGGAAGTCTAATAGGAGCAGGAGTTCTCTTCATCTGTAGCAGGCACGGATTATAAATCATAATGGTGACAATATAAATGCCATTTTTTAAGCTGTGCTCCTGTGCTGATCATTTCAGTGATATTTCTAATGAACACAAACCTATTTATCTTGGTTGAATGCTGAAGTGGACAGAGGGTAGCATGCTCAAGAAGAAAACATTGCAATGGATGGTTTCTTTAGAGAAACAAGAAACTTGGGACCCAGCAAATGACTGTGAGAAGAACAGATGTGCCAGACCCCCTACACTAGTCACTGAAGCAAACACAGCGGTCATAATCCTACTTATGGTCACATGTCTTCTTGTACTAGGGTTCCTTCAGGGTTTCACTTAACTGAGAAGACTCTGAGAGATGGCACATACTGAGCTTTCAAGCACTGACCAATAGTGACCAAACTTTTGGCTACAGGGAGCCACATGAGCTGTGTCACACTGTAGAATGTAGGTGTGCTTTCCTAGCCCTTTGCTCTGGAGAGACAACTCAGACAATGGCCTAGCTCCATGATGGACATAGATTGAAGTACACACCATCTCATCCCTGTGTTCAGGTTTTTTTTTTTTTTTTTTGGTGCACTGGAAAAGAGCTGTGGCATGTATGCCAGTGAGTCCCCTCATCTAAAATGTTGAGATATATGGCTGTTGGGCATGCTGGTGAGCATATGCACCCTACAAAAAAGAATACAGCTGCAATCATCTAAGGAGGTTGGAGAATGTACAACAAAAAAGCATAAAGGAAGGTGGTCCCTGTAGCATGTTGCAGACACGAACATTCCCACATGTGCATGACATTTATCAGGGGCTGTGGGTAGTGCATGTGTGCAAGGCATAAACTTTTGGTCATGTTGTCGGGGCAGCAGGGATGTGTACTGGGACACTGGGTAAAGAAGTTACAGGATACAAACTGCCAGAACAACTCATCCAGATTCCAGTTCCCTCACAGCAAGCTGGTGGTCACAGGGAATAGGCTACAGGATTGAATGAATGTTTTTCCGGACTGAATCTTACTTGCTGAATACATGTGAAGCACATTGGTACAACTCATGACTACAATTCAGTCTTGCAAAAGTAAATTTTGTTGGAATAAGGGACCATTAGAAAGCAAATTCTATAGGACTCATGTGAGTCCATTTAAAAGCAAAATTGTAGCTCAAATAAGTTTTTTTTTTTTTTTTTTTTTTAAATTAAATAATGGTTTTCTAAAAGCAAGGACTGACCACAATGTAGTTAAAGTGTAGGTGAAATTGTTAGCTGAAGCTACTGGTGGACAGAATTTAGAAAGTACAGGCTCTATAAATTATATTCAGTATGTTTTCCAAACTACATAAGTAAAATGCCAATTATTTATTAAAAATCCTACTTCAGTACAAAAGTTTAAAGTTTCTTTTTGGGCACAATGACATTGGCTGTACTTAGAGTCTGTATATTAGAATGACATAGGTCATTGGGAAATCATAAAAGTCTTACCAAAGAGTGAAACCACTGCATACATGCTGAACTACGTAACCCCACCACGAATTGTCTAAACAAAATAATTTGATACTGGCTGTTTTCCACACTTTAATTAGCAAGCACAGATGGCTGTTGCATAATCCTATTTAATGTCTGTGCTGGATACCTCCCGAATAGCTCAATGATTAAGTTCATACCTTAGTTTGGCTAAATGCATTAGCTGAAAGAAAACTGCTCACACTAAGATTCACTTTCCGACATAAATTTAATGCAGGCATGTTTCCTTCCACTGGTTTAACAGAGAAAAAGCTCTATTAACCTATAGTATGTTGGTTGCAAAGATGCCCCGAGGTATTTTGTATAAATGTATATTGATGTCTTACGCGAATTTTTCTTCCCCAGCAGAGTTTCTTTGCAACAGAGATCACAGTGCCCCCATTAGATAATCACCACCCTCAATGACATCCAGGCTAATCATGCAATTGATCACAGTAAATCAAAGATTTGGGAATTCTCCGAACAGCTGTCTGCAGCTAACCCTATCTGTGCAATGGGCTGCCTTGGCCACATTTCCCCTGGAGGCAGATTTATGAGAGGGTAAGGGAGGGCAGATGTTGAGTCTGCAGCCCACCTGTCTGCAGTGCTGGGCCCCAAGGTATAGTGATGGCTGTAGTACCACTCCTGCTCCCCACCACTGCTGCTGCTGCCTTGGACTGCTATTTGCCACAAAGCAACAAGATCTCCAGTCCTGTTAATTATGGTGGCTAACAAGACACTTGCATACCTGTATGCAACATGAATCATACTAATTCAACTCTCATCATTTAAGATTTTTGGAGTTACAAACAGTGTCAGTTCTACCCTGCTTTACCACATTAGGAAATATATTTTAAGATGCTTAACCGTTTTTTCATGTGAGAAAAGCAAATTCTTAGTTGCTCAACAGGTGCATAAGCAGTTATTGGTAGAGGAGTTACGTGCATTTACTTAGACAAATAAAAATTTACATTAAAATAACTTTCAAGTATTTCAAAATGTAGAAATGAACATGATAAAAAAATTCTAAGTGATTACACAAGATTTTAATAATTTTACTATCTCAGCTCAGTTGGTCTCTCTAAAAAAACCCCTAAAACTACCATAAAGAAAAGTAATTATGTTTTATCTTATCTCTCCCAGAATATATTTTATTACAAAAGTCTAGAACATCTGTTGTGTAGCATTCTGTGCATTTTAATAACATATTTTAAAAATTTTTAAAGGGAGGATACATATTTCTGTTTTTCAAAATATTTATTGGATGACAGAATGTACAGATATCAGTGAGATGTGTACATATGATTTTTAAAGAAAATGGCAGTGGACAGCTTGTGGTGGGTTTGTCTTAAAATCACAGTAGTTCTTTCTGTGTCTGGCATAAAGTTACAACTCACGGCCCAAAGTTACAACTCACTTCCTAAAGTTACACACTGGTTCTGTTCAAGAACATGGGACAATATTCTATCTCTTGTCAGTGGTGGAAGAACAGATACATAATTTCACGCTTGATTTTTTTATAAGGAAGTTAGTTTTGAGAATGCACTATGACTTAGTAATAAAAGGAAGCATCGACATAGTTTTGTATCAACATTGACATTGTTTGCTGAACCAAGACCACAAACAAACTCATCTCAACTGTACTGTTGTTAATCTGTAAATTAAGGGAAACCTATTTCTTCCTGAAGGACAGAAATTATAACTTCTACAGAGGTGATCAATGTACCTGAACTTCCAACAAGACCAAGAGGTATTCTTCATGTCCTCAAGATATTACCTCTGCATTAAATACCACCTCGGGCTGTACTGAAATGCTGCTGCCAGTGTAATTAAGTCTGGCTTTTGTCCCCAAGGCAGAGAGAAACACAACTTAAGCCCAAATAAATGGTTGTGGATAGGACCTGAGATGGATATCTCAAAAGAAAAGATATTTCCCAAATCCTAAAATGGCTTTTATGGTCCTGATTGATCAGTCTTCTCTTCCACAGAGCTCCCGCTGGATGCAAAAGAGAGTTCAATGGGAGAAAACAATGGCTTGAGTGGATGACATGGAGTATACTAGAATACATCTAGAATTAAGTTAATGTTCTCTTCAGGAGAAGGTGAAAACCAGATACAGTAATACACTACTGGTCCACAAGAAGCTTTTTTAGACATTTTTTCTTTGGTTGGGTTTTTTAAATGCATTTCTGTTTGGGTGCTTTCTTTCAGGCAAACTCAATGCAGAAATTTATAAAGATCCCACTTATTCCATCTATGTCCAACAAATACCAGAAAAAAATACAAAAGCATGCAAGGATGTTAGATTAATTATGGGGAACACTGTGCTTGTTAATGATTTTCATTATATTTATTTAGAGTAAAGACACCAAAGAAATGAGAAGGATCTTTGTATTATATTCTTCTGAAGCCCTGTGATAACAAAAAGTTTGAGATTCTTTTGAATCACAATAATTCCTTTGAAATAGGCAGAAGTGGCTAATGTGGGATTCCTGATATTCAGCAATGAGAAAGGAATCTTACTCAAAATATGGTAATTCTTCCATCTCTACTTCTTCCATCTCTCTGTACACTCCCAAAGACAGTTTATGTGGTAAGCTCTGCAAATCAAAGTAAAACCAGGTATTTCCTAAAGACATGGTAGTACCTGGAGAATCTTTAGGAACGCAAGAGACCCTTACACTGAATGTCTTTTTTTTCTGCTGGCCTGGCTTGGTAATAAAAGTTGAAAAGTTATCTTATGAAAATCAATGGCATATCTTAGAGAACACAGAAAGCAGAAGCACAGTTCAAGTAATGAATGGAATAACTTCAATTATATTTGGTTTGGGTGTATGGACTGAGTTAACTGCACTTACAGAAATGTGTTTTCAAGTTAATTATCTAATGTAATTTTAATTTAAATATATTAAAGGGACTTTTTTTTCTCATTCTTGGTCTACTGTGAAGTCATTCAAGTGTATAAGTGATTGAACTCTTGCATAAAAGTGTTGACATTAAAATAGAGTGTAATAAAGAGAACAGGGTAATTGCTAGAAGGTCAATGAAGAGAAAAGGAAACAACTGTGCTCAATTTAACAGTAGCACGGCAGGCAACATTGGGAAGTGAAATAGCTGCCAAAGAATGGACATCTGGGTGACCTGCATTGAAGAAAATGAAAAATGACATACTATTTTCTTATTTTCAGACAATTGGTATTGCAGATGGTTCTGTGATTGAAAATACACTGAGGCAAGCTGAGTGGGATGTACCTTGACAACAGTCTGTGTTCTCAAACTCTCTTTCTGAACTGGTCATCTGGACCTGTAAAGCCAGTGGAAACAAACGGTATGATTGGTTTCTTCCTAAAGTACATGTCAAAAATGTATTTCTCTAGAACTACAGGTATTTTTTTTCACTGGATATGAAGATACCTGGAGATGACAAGTTCAGATGTGGGCATCTAAAACTAGTGATGGAAACCCTATTAAAGTCATCTCTGGTGTTGGAAAACCATCAGCAGTGTAGGTGGAACAAGGGAAGACCAGGGAGTAACAGCCTTGGACATCCACTAACTGCTGCTACATCAGACCTTTGGTGAGGAACTTCAAGACTGTCCAGTGACACTACATAAACTTAGCAACTGTGTCAGTCCCTGGGTTTACAGAACATATACAGACTATATACTGTGGTTCCAAAGTCAGAAAGAGGACTCTTGTTTCATGATCCTGTTTCTAGATCAAACTTGCTATATGAAGTATGAAATCGGTGGTTTACACCAAAGTAGTCTTGGAAGGAGAAATCGTCAGGTTGCAATATATGCTCTTACACTGTTTAGTGATGCATGAAGCAACTAGAGTAGGACCACGAAGCTGTAGTCCTAAGAAGCCTTAGATTTTCTTTTATTGTTAAGTCAAAAATATACACCAAGATGAAGCCATTGTCTGTAGCTAGGGCTGATGATAGGCTTCCTTAAAGAGAAATCTACTTCACAGACTCCCAAACACCTTCAGTTGCTTTCAAGTTAGGCTTTATAGGTGGTTATTTAGAAATGCATATGTCCTGCTGGTTTTATTGTACTTCTTTTGATCTGGGGAATGCACTGTAATACTGTGCTTTGTAATCTGCGTTATTACCAAAATATTCTTCCCCTGCAATTTTCAACTATTTGGATATTTGAAACATTAATATTTTGAACTCGTAATTTTATCCTGGGCACCAGCCTGTTTTTCTGGGCTATGGCTATCAGCAAACAGGTAGCTGAAAGTGCAAGTGTTCAGATATATATTCACGCAATTATTCTGAGATCATAAAATTGAAAAAGGTTCTTTTGCAAGTACAAAATAGAAGGTTAGGCCTCTCTTCAGCTGAACAGCATATCTTATCCTCCTCCCTTCAGTATCTCTCTCCCCATCAAAACACCAACATGCGCAGGTGATGTTTAGGTTACATATTATTTTCCAACCTGGCTGATTCTATAATTCTATGATTCTTTGCTTCTACTTGAGTACATAGAATAGGTTCGGTTTTGGCATATGGATCATCTCTCTTACGGTATCATAATTATGTGTCTTGGTAGAAGATATCTAAGAGACTTGTGAAGATTGCAGCCCAGCTTTTGATTATTTTTACATATAGCTCATTTATTGTCTAGCTCAGCTAATTTGGTATTTTTATCATATACTGATGCTGTTGCATGATCTAATGTCAAGGAATGGTTATAATGCTGTTGCAAATTTAACCATGTTGGGAAAATACTGATCTATTGATACAGGCACCGAAATTCTTCCAACCAAGCCTAAGAAATTTGAACTACACAATTTGACATTCCCCTTGGGCCAAAGAAGCTTTAAGAAATTCTTCCGTGTAAAAATTACTGCTTTATATCTCTTCTTGATATACTGAGCTTACTGTTTAATTTGCTGGATCTTCACACTCTAGGCATTTATTCCCACATAATCTGGAAGTCTTGACTTTGTAAAAAACCCCTGAAAGGCCAGCAAGGGTTCTCCATAATGCACTGCTTGCAAAACCAAGGCTCTAGATTTGCTGATCCTAAAGATCCCTTTTTTCCCATGGTGAAAATGGACCATAGGCATACACAAGAAACAAACTCATTTGACTGGACAGGTAGAAGAAAGCAAGTCCTCTTCTGTCTTAAAGAGGACTTTCCAAGAAAGTATCTTGCTATAGATGAGTTTTTGAAATAGGGATTTAATTCATGTAGAAATATCAGTACTTCTGTGACTATGCAGGGCATGGATCTCAGTTAATGTCTAGATTTGTAGACAGAGCAGGTATCTGTGCTCTTGCGAATAGATTGATCCTAATGACAAAGAGAAAGGCAGGATTTATGCTTATATTATCAAACACTGATGCTGCAGGCTTTCAGGTAGTTTTCTCTGACAGTTTTCTACAAAGAACCGTATAAATGGAATGACAAGGACAGATGTCAAGATCCCCATTTTAGAAGTGAACATGGTAGAAAGAGAACATAACCATATTGTAAGGTATTTGGGGTTATCCTTAAAAGAGAACACCTGTATAGCAAGGGTAGATTTTTGCCTAACAGAAAGGAAACCAGATTACTGGCTTGGAAAATTAATTATTATGTGTATTTACTTATACCAGGAGTGAGAAGAAACAGGTGCTGAGAAGCACTGAGGTCCTATTAAGGCATCTGTTTGATATTCAAAGGTAACAGCACTTTTTAGAATGGGTAACACTCAAGGATGAAAGCTGTAACAGTTACAGATAGGCTAAGGAATACAAAGGTAATCCTCTAAAGTTCATACAGCAACTAAAATGCATGTGATATCGATAAGATCATAGGGGAAAGGTTGTCTAAAAATGACAACATCAAATAAAAGAGCTAAATAAACTCTGGTACAAAGACAAAGGTAAAATTCCTGTAAATGTTGGTGCTAGGTAGCAGTCTTGGCACTTAGATTGTGTTTAGACAATTCCACTGTATCTTTCTCCAGAGGTGCACACCATTCTGAGGTGGAAAGTAGCAGAAATAAACAACTGCAAAACAACTGAGAACAAGATAATATTCCTGTGATTTGGATATGCTAAATCCCATTTGGGGAACATTATCATCCTAGGCTCACTTCATAATCAACAGAGAAGAACTTGCGCTTCCAGGATGTGATTTGGATGAAAAATGGTCTCACTTTTCCTGTCAATTTCCTTTCTCTCTCAACTATCTTTTTAGGCGGCCTTGAACAACTCTGCTCCTAACTAGGCAACTATGTTGCTAGTCTCAGGTGCTTTCCACTGGGTGTGAGAAAGTCGGGGCTCAGGGCACTATCTGGTTCACACGTTTTTGGTGCTTAACACAAATTCACACAGAATGAAACACTACAGTCTCTACATTCTGTAAACCATGTCTACTTGACTGTATGAGCGCCTATATTAAAAATTAACAGTAAAGAATACTTAAACAGCAGTGACAGCTGGGACCAAGCCTCGGGACTCTCTCAGGCCTGCCCTCACCAATGGGCTGCAATATCAAGCTCCCTCTTACCTATTCTCTCTCTGCTCCAAAGGCTCACATAGTGAGCAGAATGAAGAACTTCTCTAGTTTGATGGGTAGGATAAGCTCTGAGGAAAAGGGAATTGCGGTTCAAACCCCTTCAGTCTGAGAAAGGCTTAAAATCTATGTTTCCCACTTCTTGTAAGAGTGTTCAAACAATGAAGTTATTCTGAAGTGGCTGCTGCCTCTTCCTCTTGCATCATTAGCTGCTTGCTCTCAAGAGACGACTCAGTGCTCTGGATTTCAAGTGGATGAAGGTGATTGAGGTTCAACACTTGTTCAGATCTACGCTGAGAGGTTTCCCAGGTGATTGGTAGGTGGGAGTTTCAGTGACCTGCTCAGACAGTGGAGAAAGATAGGTTCCTAGCTGCTCTGAATGATTTCGGAGGTTGCCACATTTCCCCACCCATTACACTTGGAATTGAGATGTCTACCTCAGATGCACTGAATCATCCTGCTGAGCCAGGAGCTGCTGGAAGCACGGCAGCACCCAGGCTGAGCAATTCCTGTTGATAGTTCAGATACTGCCTTCCTTTCATGACACAGTTCTTAGCAATTTCTTTCGAGCAGGTACCAAAGAAGCGATGCTTCAGTGACAAATATCCCTCACCTTGCATGATCTACCTCAGCAGCCTGGAATACAGGAAAGACTGCTTTAAGCAAAAGACCGCATAATCATATTCAAGGTGATCAAGGTATTTTAATTTCTCAAGATTTCCCCTCCACAAAGAGTCAGTATATTTGTGATCATACTACAGAGCCCCCTGGGGAACTGGGAAACATATTCAACACATACATGCAGATATGTGCTGGATGTTCGCCACCCTAGGCATGACATTCTCCAGTCTATTCTTTAGCAAAGCAATGAGCATAACAGGTAGAGAAAGTGTGTTCACTCCACTATAAATAGCTAGTTGCATTAAGTATAACATTTACATTTGCTTGTAGTTGTCTGAATTCAGAAACAAATCTGATGCACTACAGTCATGCCAGTAGATCCTCTATTGCCCCTCCTCCCCCCCCTTAATTGCACACCTTTTTCGCTAGCTACTTTTCCCCTTTCAGTCCTCACCATGCAAATTATGCCCACTTTCACTTATTTTCTGACTAATTTAGACCTAAAATTTATGCTGCCATTCACGTCACTGCTGAAATTGGCTCAGAGCTTTCCAAGGGAGTTGCACTTGTTGACAGCAGGCATGAATATATTTCTTAGATTTGAATGCCTTCGTGTGAAAAAAAAATTGCAGAGCACTGTCAAAGCTGTGACTGATACACTGAATAAATGTATAAAGTAAATAACCACACTTACTATGATGAATTCTAGTCTTAGACCCTAATAAATACCTTTTGCATGCAATAGTTGCTGAACTTTTATCTGAAAAATATGAGCCTGGTACCCTAACATTTAT